ATAGAATTTATTCCCCTTCGATTCCGCAATAGAATAATTGTTGTTGTTATTTTATTGTGGGTACCCTTATTTGGAATTTGAAGCTCGGATAGGGCGTTGAGAAGCGCGCTTTTAATTTAATTATATAAATAGGTCACTTGTAGACTAGAGTTCAGTCTTAACTGAACAACTACCGTATTAAGGGCAGCTAATCTGGTAACATCCCCCCGGTCGGAAGAACACCCCTACGCGAAAGATTAATTGCTCTCCCAACCCCAGACCATCCGACTGTAACAATATTAAAATACCTGTTTACTATTTTTGACTAAAAAAATTGTCTATAATTGTTTGTTTCTGTGCGTTTATCAACTTTAAACCAATGTAGTAATCAAGAGCATTAACATGTTTAATTAACTCCTTAGAATCTTCTTGCTGTTGCAAAAAGGAACAAACTAATTCTAAACTCTTTGGCATTGACTATTGGCTGTTATCAATTTCACTATCATTAATATGAATGCCTGATGGTTTTTTATACATATCAATAAGTCTTTCATAAACATGTTATCATCGGACACTTCATGAGTTATTTGTTCTTCCGGATTGTTCAAAAATTCATTAATCGACGTTAATTCTTTATTTACCTGACCTGCTAATATTAAACAAAGGAATGTGTTAACAAGCAATTTTTTCAAAGTGTAACCAATAATAGTAAGGCAACGCAATAATCGATATGTAAGTATTACAAATCACACTCTTTGTATGATCTTTACTTTGTTCAGATACTATGTAACCCACAAAGATTTTGGTACCATTTTGAAGCTAATTGACTGTATTTTTCGAAAAAAATGGTATGGAATTTAAATTAGTTACTGTAATGAAGAAGTAGTTCGATGAAGTGACGGCATTTATGTTACACTTATGATTTCATATGTGTAACATAATTTTGCCACTACAACTTTGAAACGACAACAGGACTGAGTATATCGTAATTTTTTCTGAAAAATATAATCAATTAGCTTCAAAACAGTACCAAAATAATTGTGGGTTACATAGTACGTATGGGTGATAGAGATTTTCGAAAATAAAGGGTTTTCATAGGTTTTACTAGTAAAATTTCGTCTTGTACTTGGGTGGTGTATTTACTTTACTAACTTATAACTCCTGAGCTTGGGATAAGACTTGGTGTGCATATATGGAGGGTGATCACCCACTGGTGTGATGTTTTTTTACCCCTGCGAATTATTTCGCTAATTTCATGTTCATTTATTGTGTTCAGGAACACTATGGCTCAGAATGCAAATGTATTGTGGATTCAGCTTGAGAATAAGAACAGAGCCAACAAATATCCTATTTCTGATGGGGATAATCGTAATTTGGATGACCTTGCGACAGAGTTCTGTAAAAAGGGACGACTCCAAACTCTCAAGATTGACCCAGAAGATCTTGAGTTTTTTGGTGATTACGACAAAAGTCATTATGACAACAGCAATAGCAGTGACGGACCTCTTAGCAGTGACATTAAACTTCAACATCTGAAGACAACTGCTAAAGCTCCTCTGATCGTCAGATATCTCCTGTCGGATATGTCTAGTAAGTCGAATTATTTCTAATTACTCCCTGCTCGCGTAATTTATGTCCTCATTTCCCATTCCTCTTTGCAGTTATTGTTAACGTCAAACTGGCGAATGCCCAACAAAAAATTCGCATTAGCCATAGTACTGGGGCTTGGAAGGACCTTCTTGATGAGACGGAACAGCGCTACACCACACTTCAATTGGACAACACTAATTTCTACTTTGTTGACCAGGCCACGAAGAAAGAGACTATCAATAATGCATTTGTCTTTTTCGAAATCGTAAAAGAAACCAAACCTAACAACGAAGACGAAATCGTTCTCGATCTCATTGTCAGGATTGAAGGTATGGTTGACCTTGAACCTTGCAATCGATTGCTGTGTTTCCAGGGGATGCTTATAAGTTTCTTTTGTGACTATTTAACAGGCAAGAAGGCATATGGGGAGTGGTCGATTAAGGATGTTCTCCACGAGCTCTTGCAGGATCAACACAAATCTATAAATGCTATACCTGAACTTGACATTGGTATTGTCTTTGCAAATTTCCTTTTATGAATCAACCTTCATGATTATAGTCTTTTATAATTCTTCTGGATTTTATTATGTAGATGCTACTTTTGGACTATACAAGGTCGATCAGGAGCAGGAAAAGTTTCTCAAAGAAAACCTCAGGAAAATCACTAAGGCATTTCGTTATGTCATAAGCAACAACAAGGCTACTGCCCGAAACTATATCAACCCAATTATAATTGAGGCAGTCTCAGCAGTTCAAAAAAGTCATGCTTCGGTGTGCCTGGCGGTTGAGGAACAGTTTGACGGCAGCAAGGGCTATGGCCAGCTCGATATGTGCTTTTCTGTGAGGAGCTGGCTGTTGTAGTTACCGAGGCAAAAATGATTGATGTTCAAAATGGAATCGCCCAAAATATAGCCCAATTACATACAGCTGTAGAGGTACCCAAATTTTCTTTTTTTGGACTCATTTATTGCTTTTCTTTACACCTCACAATTTAGTCGTATTTCTACCCAGGAAAGTAAGAAGAGAAAGCGCAGTGATGGCACCCCGATGTGCAAAGCGATGTGCGGGATAGTTACTACAGCCAATGAATGGCGTTTTCTTAGTTGGGATATGAGGAGCTTGACGCCGACAGTATTGCTGTCAAAACCCTACAACTGTTCGTTCAATAATAACGTAGGCGTTTCGGAGGTCTTGTCAGTAATTATCCGGATTCTTCAGTCGCAAGCAGATGACATCGCAGGCCAATCTGTAGAAGAGGGAGCAGAAACTGAAGAGAGAGCAAGTCAACATCGCCGCCTAGAGGATGAAGCAGAAACTGAAGAGAGAGCAAGTCAACATCGCCACCTAGAGGATGAAGCAGAAACTGAAGAGTAGGGTTCTGGTCGGAATATGTTCTGTGGGTCGGGTTTTATGCCATGTATATGTGTCATTTTTTTACATTTGACTTCCACCCATTAAAGAGCTTTGTCTGAAATACCAGTTTTTGAATATTATATTTTGCGAGAGGCCCAATACAAAAGATTCTATATAATTATCCAGGAATTCCATCCATTAATAAGGAGTCTCTTTGCATGTTGGACTTAGGTGTAGTAAACCACCATAGAAACAGAGCAAGAGTACAGTGAATACAAGCATAAACATTGGAATGGCCTGTTTACTGAGACCTAAAACTGTCAAAATAAAAAGGACAAATGCTGGAAACTTTCCTTATAGTTAATCTTTCATGAAAATTGGAAATATCTCGCAAAGTATGGCATGATTCATAAACATTTAGCCATGATAATATGGCATAGCATTTAGAAAGGCAACTTGAACGTGAATGCGCCATTGTCCATAAATCTTTTTTATCCTAGCTTCTATAATGATTTAGTGACATCCTCTTTCTTGCCTTGTATGAGCATGTTTCACAGCTTCTCTTGCAACCAAAAAAATATTCTAGTATTCTAGTCAGAATATATAAAGCTATTCCTATATAAAAATATAATATGAAACTAATCTACATCAAATCCACTATGAAACCTAAAGATTATAGTACCATCAGAAGCATTTTGAAAGGAGAACAAGGCGAGAAAATTGCTCCTTATGTTTCTAAAATAAAAATAACTGATACTGAAACTATCCAAGAATATTTAGATAAGGAAAGAATTACTTATGAAATTTATCAAAAATTAAATATTAGCATTAGTTTTGGAGATAAAATTGACTTTTATCACAAAGATACTTCTGAATGAGGTCGACAAGAATAAAAAAAAAGCATAAGAAACGAGCATCTTTCAAGAATCAAAGAAAAAGAGAAAAGTATCAGAAGAGTAGGGATATACACTGTGTAACGAAAAAAAATGGTGGTTACAAAATCAAAATTGCTTTGAAATAAATAATGAAACACATTGTCTACTATGGTCCACATATTTTTATCAGCTTGTTTATGTCTCATTGAAGATATTTACCAAAGAAGACTTTGTTGACTTCTGCTTTAATTTTGAGAACGTTATAAACCATGTTACACAATGCATAAAGGTTGAAAATTACATTCAAAAATGAGTGTTTATCTTTGTTCCATTGTAAACAATCTCAAAAAACCAAAAGATACAATTATTTTAGAGCATGACAGGAAAACTTCTGTCTGATCAAAAGTTTTATATGTAACATACCAAAGAATAAACTGTGGGAGAAACAAAGATTATCTTGTAATAAACTGACTGTTTTATGTAAACATATTACAAATTCAACTGATGACTACTATGTAAAACATTTACAGTGATATTTGCATCTGCAT